AGTATGATGTGTCAATCAAAGTCAGTGTTAACATTTTAAGGAAAATGAAAGCACTGCACTTGTGATATATACTCACTTGCAAAAAGATTCAAAAAGGCAAATTGAAAATAAAATTGAGGTAGATAATTTGTAATATTTACAAAGAACGATAACGACCTGCGTTAGCAAAGCCTTAGGGGACCAGGGGTTCACAAACGTAGCTTATAGGCCCGTAGATTTCTGAAAGAAAACCTTCAGTTTCAGTAGCGTCCCAACAAGTCTTCACAGAACACACAGAGTAAGGCTGGGCATTGTGTCAGACCTAGGGATGCAGCTGTCAAGACTTTAGAGTCCTGCATTTTCGGAGTCTTCTGCTCATTTGCGAGAGATTGGAGGGAGGAAGAAACGCTACACAGAGAACGATTAGAACACACCCAGCCTGTGCCAGAACCGGTGAGACTGTAATGTGGGGTTTCCACGGGCTTCGGAGCTCCTGCGCGGAGTTGCAGGACCCAGGGCACCACCTCTCCGCACTCAGCCACTCACCCTCGCTGACCTTGCCTCCGGTTTTGCAGGAGAGTCCCCAGATCTCTCATGCATGTCCTTCCAATCTTACTGCCCTCTCCTTTTCCTCTGAATTAGAACAGTTACTTCCCAGTGCCATGATAATCCCCCTGCACACACACACACACACACACACACACACACACGGCAGCCCTAAGACAGGCCAGGAAGACATGGTTCTGTGCAGGTCTTCCTTCCTGTGGGAGCAAGGCCTTGTTCTGTAAAGAAATACCGACCATCGGATTTCTGTACATATAAAGCATCTGATGCTGGCTTCCTTCCCAGAGCCAACCCAGGAGAAATTACAGAAGCCAGAGGGAAGTATGAATCCCAGGCACTTTTGAGAAGTGAGAAAAGCCTGGTTGTGTTGGACTCATGTGTGGGAGGTGGTGACCCAGGCAGCAATAACAGATAAAGCAAAGCGCCGAATGGGTTCACCTTGACTCATTCCCTGAGCTGTCCTGAGACAATCCTTGCCTGCTTCTTCTCCAACAAGACAGCAGCAATGGAAAATGAATAAATAAGAAATAAATGAGAGGAAGAAAAAAACGGGGAAACGCAGACTATCTGTCATAACCCCAGCTAAAATTCTAGACAATAATAACTTGATGACAAGGGGCCCAAAAGTATGTAACTTGCTAAAAAATAAAAAATTTGCTACTTAATGAAAAGATAAAGATATTATTGAATTTTTTTAAATCAGTAGGGATAAACTATCAAGAACAATTAATTCTAGGCTAAGAACCAACCACAGAGAGACAAAAATATGGTATTTAACTTTTAAACCTACAGAGGAAAATTTATTCTAACAAACAATATGAAAGGAGAGGGAAAGAAAACCAAAATAAAGTACATGTACACCGATCTTAGCCAAAAGGCCAAGAAGAGATAAAGTACATGTAAATGAACCTGAAACAGAATGGCAAGAACTATTCCTAACAGAATAGTAATTAATAAATATAAATGAGTTAAACTTGTGCATTAGATGACAGAAGCTTTCAAATTGGATTTAACAGAAACAAGTTACAATACACTCTCTGTAGTAGAATCCTTAAAACAGACGAATGAAAGACACAGAGAAAGGGTGGAAGAGGTTAAAATGGGCAAATTCTAGGCAAAAGAAATCTTAATATGTGACAGAATAGAGAGTTTTAAAAACATCAAAAGAGAAATGGGTGTCTGGGAAGTAGAATAACAGACAACAGAGCACGCCGACATCCACAGATACCTAGACGCAGCCTTAAACTATGCCCACAACAGACAGGGTATCAGGAAGAAATAGAATAAGAATGTTAGTTTTCAACAAGCGCAGAAAGACTATGTAAAAAGATAATGGCTAAAATAGTCGCAAACAAACAAACAAACAAATCAAGCCATAGTCTCAAGAAGTTCTAAGAAAATCTCCAGAATCAATACAAACATCTATCACAGTTATAGTGCAGAAAACCAAAGATCAAAAGGAAACTGTTTTAAACATTTGGAGAAAAAAGGTAAATTATGTTCAACAGAGCAACAGTCAGAGGAACATCTCCTTCTTAATGGAAGCCAGAACAAAGTGTAATGTCAACACAAAGGGGTGAAAGAAAATAGCTGCCCATATAGAATTCTTCACCTAGTACAAGCAGCTTACCCAATTAAAAAAAAAAAAAGAAAGAAAGAAAAAGCTAAAGAGCTTACACAGACTTTTCACAACATGCAAAACAGAAATGGTCAATAACATTTTTTTTAAATCCCTTATGCTATTTCTCAAAAAGATGAAAACTAAAACCTTAATAAGATACCACTGCCAGAATGGACAATTATATCTTCTTCAATGTCAAATGTCAAAATGGATGTGCTCAGGCTTTAGAGCAACTGGAACTTCATAATTTTTGGTGAGAATACAAAATCATATAACCTGGAGAAAAGGCCTGGTGGCTTATTTTTTATAGAACTAAACATACATTCATACACTAGCCATTTAATTGCTAGGTATTCACTGAAAAGAAATGAAAACACATGTTCACCGAAAGACTTGGACAAGAATATGCATGGCTTTCTTTGTAAAAGCCAAAAACTGAAAACAGCCCAAGCATTCACCAATAAGAGAATAAGAAAGCAAAGGGATAAATTCATACAATGCAACGCTGTTTGACAATAAAAAGTAGTTTCTGTGGATACCTGCAGCAGCATGGATAAACCTCCTACAACTTACGTTGTACAGATGGTGCTTGCTACAAAAGAGTGCATATTGTAATTTCTTCATGGTTTTTCTCACTATGAATAAGCTTTGCCCATTTGGAAGTTAATATAAATGGCATCAACAGCATAAAAACTGTGGAACTCCACTTAAAGATATGCATGCTCAGGTATTGGAGAAGTACACTGAACCTACAAATTACTCTAAAATGCATCCAAAATAAGGTGACTAATGTACAGATAGAGGGGTAGATACGTTGTAAAAATAGAGTGAGATGTTAATGGTAGGATCTTAGTGGGGGTATAGAGATACTCGCTATAAACATTTCAAAACTTTTCTGTATGTATGAAAATGCTTACAGTTTATAATATTGGAAAAATGAAGCATGGAGAAGATTATTAAAATTTACTAAAAGCCATAGATTTTATTATTCAATGGCGTGACATTCCATGCTATCTTATGAGATGATATAATAGAAAGATGAATGCTCCCAAGTTAATCTACATATTAAATGCAATTGTGATTAAAATTCTTGGTACATTTTTAACTCAATAAGCTTAAATTCAATTTTTTATAGAGATACATAACCAAGAGTAACTAACTCAACATTATAAAAGAAGAGCATTAAAAAAAATTTAGCAGATGTCTTGCAACGTCATAGGACACAGTGATCAGTAATCCCCCTTACCACAGATCCCAGGGATCTTACCCTAAGATCCCAGGGATTCCTAAAGCCTCAGATAGTGTGGAACCTGATATACAGGATGTGTTTTGCTTTACCAACATCTATGATAAAGTTTGATTTATACATTAGGCACACTAAGAGATTAACAACAAGAATTAATAATGAAATAGAACAATCAGGACAATATCCTTGAACAAAAGTTATGTGAATGTGGTCTTTCTTGAAAGAGTGAGGACAAGTATGAATATTTTCAAACTGTGACTGACATACGTACATGGGACCTTGCTAGATGGCTGATGTAGCCTTGGAACTCTGCTGGGGAAGGCTCAGGTATTTGGTGGTGGTGCTTGGATGGCTGGCTTGATGAATAAGGAAATCGAATCCATCCCCAGTGACATCCAATCCAACGTGAATAGCAGATGGATTAGATGAGAAATATAGAAACTGCTGTTATCAGAAGGCCATGCAGAAGGGTGTCTTTGCTACCCAAGGTCGGGGAAGGACTTCGCACACGACTTCAGAGCCCCAGCAGCACACCCAGTCCAGTTCTGGCCACTTTCCGGCTTCTGCCCTAATGCCTTGTGACACTACCTCCTCTCCATCACCCCAGCTCAGGGGTGCAGATACCTGAGGGTCACATGTCCCTCATTTCCATAAGCAGTCACACAGAATCCCAGTTTACAGCTGGCTAAAGCACTCTGATATTTTGTATGTGTATTTAAAAAATAATATCAATATTACACATAAAATTCATAAATCACCTTCCGTTGCCGCATGTATCAACAGAAGATAGATCCCAGTATCCCCTGTAAATATCAAAACCCGGAGACACTCAAGTCCCTCAGGCAAAATGGCATGGGAGTTGAATCATGATCTACACACATCCATGTAACTTGAACCACCTCTAATTCACCTCCACTGCCTAATACAATATCAATGCTATTTGAAGCTTTTAGGGAATAATGATAATGAAGGGGGTGGAGCCTGTGTGTACAGATGCAGTTTTTTTCAAAAGTATTTTTGACTTGCCGTTTGTTGAACCCATAGTTGGAAGGGCTGATTGTATTTCAAAACTATTGGAAAAACCAGCATCAAAATTTGAACAGCAGATCTCCTTTGGTGTGAGGATTATATATGGTTTGTTTTTGTCGGTGTGCTTTCATGTATTTAACAGATTTTCAGTATTGAGCAGGTAGTAACTTTGTAATTGGGAGGAAAAACATGCTTCCTTAAATGGGCTGGTGAAATGAGGCATGATTCTGAGTGGGTATAGGACACTATTGGCCCAGAGAGACAGAGAAGGAGCTGGTAGGCTGCATCTGCAGGGAGGGAAGCTTTGAGCTGCTTTGTGTGCACCGTGCTCCTGAACTTCACCATGGATACTCAATAGCAAGGATTGACTTGGCCTGATGACCCTCACATCATGTCTGCTGGAATCTCGTAGGATCGCACAAGAATGAAGCTAGCTACCTGCAAGTGTGTGCATTTATTTTTTCAAAGTCTATCAAATACACATCCTTGTGTCACACACACTCATGCAAACATACTCATGCACATTTATCCCCTGGATTCTGGGATGCCTGTGAATCTGGCTGACGGTGATGGGTCTTGCGTGCTGCACAAGTTCCTAACCACGGGCTCTCATTCGGCCAGTCTACGAGTAACTGGGAGCAGAAAGAGGTTGACTCGCTGAGCTGAAACATTCCTCTCCCTAGGTGAGCTCTCTGCTTACAAAACACATGCGTGCATTTCAATCTAAAACATTAAGGGTCAATTATTGATTTCTAACTCTGAGCTCTTATATTTTGGAAGGTTCTTATTATTGGATTTGAAATCTGACAGGCAACTTTTAAATCAATGATTACAAGATCGGCTTTGGTGTAAAATATGCACCATCCTAAGGCTGAGGCTCCTTAGCTCTGGAGTTGGGTAAATGAAGATCAATCTGTACACTGATGGTGTGGGCTTTTTTTAAATAAAGATTTTGTTTTTAGTTTGGATTGGTTTCTTTACAAATCTGCATTTTGGAAATAGAGTCTGAACAGATGCTTTGTATATGTGGAGAGGTGGCAAGAGTTAGAAGGAAGCAGAACTGGATTTGCAACTTCAGGACACTTTTAGCAAGATTGGGTAGCTCTCTATATTAAGTAAGCATGTATTTAGCACCTGTTTTAAAATATGCCCTTGAGGCTGGGGATGTAGCTCAGTGGTAGAGCACTTGCCTAATATGCACAAAGCCCTGGGTTCAATCCCCAGCACTGCTCATGGATAGATGATAGATATCTAGATAGATAAATATCTAGATAGACAGACAAAAAATTTTTAAAAATAACCACTGATCTAAACTCCCAGTTTTCAGAAACGAAGTCCTCCCTTCCTTTATCTTTCCCCTCCCTTCTCCTCCTCCTTCTTTTCTCTGTCTCTTATCTCTATCCTTCTGCAATTATTTAAAACACTTCTGTGTGAATAGCAATTTGCCCTGTTTTAAAGCTATAAAGAAGGATTCTTTCCCTTGCTTTCAGGAACATGAAATTTAATTAAATTGTGTGTGATTGCATACAACCAAAGTTAAAACCCAATAAGAAGGCAACTTGATGGCATTAGATTACAAAATAGAAGAGATGTTACAAGGTAGCACAATTGAGCAAGCTCTAATCCACAAATTCAAACTCCAAAATGTTCCAAAATCCAAAACTTTCTGAGCACTGACATGGAGTGGAAAATTCCACACCATGAAACTTTGTTTTACACACAAAATTATTTAACATAAAGTATAAAATTATCTTTAGGTTATGTGTATAAATTGTACACGAAACAGAAGAGTCACATGTATTTCCTTGAGTTCCATCCCCATGATACGTCATTATATATGTGCAACTATTCCAAAGACTGAGAAAATCAAAAACCCAAAACAATTCTGCTCCCAAATAGCGTGGATAGCCAGTCATGAAAAAAAACTGTCTTGAGATTTACTCATTTTATGCTCTTTAGGTAAACTGAAAAATCAACAAGCACAAAAGTACGGCTGGAAATTTTCAAGTAAACTAGGTAGAACACACTGGATACCAATAAACAGCCTTTGAAATCTCTATGTGAGATGGTATTTAAACTTGGAAATAGAAGGGAAACAGACTCGGTCCCCACCTCTGACAAACTTCCCATGTGCGATCAAATTCCTCAGAGCAGGGGCATCGCTGCTGATCGATCAGGACACGCTTCCTGCTGAATCTGAAGTATCCTCAGAATCCTCCAAAACAGGACCCTGAAGCACCTGTTTATAAGAGTTGTTATGAGACAGAATCTGTTTGTCATTTCCAGCATCGATGCTTGCCTGCAGTGTGCACAGATAGAGCGCTGGCAAACAAGAATAAAAAAAATTAATTAAACCCCCTGGAGATGGCAAACCCAGCCCAGGGTTATTTCCTTATTGATACAACATCAGACAAATATCTGCAGAGAACCTGTAGGTACCAGGGCTACAAAATAAAGATGAAAGATTGAGCACCTTGCCTCTTAAACTTACACCCTATCATGAAACTTCTGATACTCTCAGCATACATGTGTTCTCCCAAGTGAAATCACATCGAAATCTACTGCTAAAGACTGTATGCAGAAGGTAGTGACAGGGGTGGGGCAGGGAGCACACAGCGTGCTCGTAGGTCCTGTCTGGTCAAGGATGGTCACATAGCAGTGATTTCACACTGTGTGATCCATTATTTAACAAAGCAGGCAGTTTACCCCTCAGAGAGGGTGACATCTGAATGGATGGCTCAATAATAAGACCTGGAACCGGGTGCCATAGGCAGGACAAAGGCAAAGGCACTGCGGCAGGGAAACACAGGGCTGGGCGACAGCCTGTGGCCAAGTGGCCAGGCCACAAGGAACCCAAGGGAGAAGTAGGAAGTGGGTGGCTGAGACAGATGGAGGAAAGGCCTGTAAGCTCGAGTGAGGACTAGACTCCCTGCTGGTTGCAGTGGAGGTTTTAGGCAGGGAGTTGCGGGATCTAATAAAGACACATATTAAAAATTGCTGGGCTACAGTATGGGCAATCAGTAAGAAAAAGTGGAAGCATGAGGCTCTGTGGGATCCTGTGATTTTTCAGAAATCCTGCCCCCTGCAAAGGCCCACATGTTAAAGCCTTGGTCACTGGCTTGTGGTGCTCCTGGGAGGCAGGGGGACTTTTCAGAGGTGGAACAGACTGGGAGGAAGTTAGATTGCTGGGACGTGTCCTTGTGATGGGAACCCGGACACTGGTCTCTTCCTCTCTCTCTGACTCTGGGCCACCGTGAGGTAAGAAACGCCCCCACCACACATTCCCACTGTGATGTTCTGCTCCCACTATGATGCCGTGCCTCGTAAGCACAGCCCACACGCAATTATTGTTGGTCAAATACTTGCTTTGTGCTGGGCCTGTTGCTAGGCAGTTTTGCATATATTGTTTATTTTGATTCACACAAAAAGCTTATAAAGTAGGTAACTATTATTATCCATACCAGATGAGAAAACAACTCAGAAAAGTTAAATAGCTTGAACATATGGCCACTAAGTGGTAAAACAGGAATTCAGCATAATTCACCAAAGGCAATGGTATCAAGCAACCATGGACTGAATCCCCTGAACCAGGAGCCAAAATGAACCTTTGATTCTTATGAGTTGTTTATCTCAGGTATTTGTAACAGCAACAGAAAGCTGGCTGACACAGATTCTGAAATACAGTAGTCTCCCCTGATCCATGGAGGATCCATTCCAAGACCCCCAGAGGATGACAAATAGTACCTAATCCTATATATACATTTCTTCCCCTATAAGCACACCTACAGTAAAGTCTAATATAGTAACAGATCAGCAACAATATGAAAATAGAAGGCTGGGATGTAGCTCATCGGCAGAGTACCTTCCTGCTTTCCTGATAAGTGTGAGGTCCTGAGTTCCATCCCTGGTACCAAAAAAAAAAAAGAAAGAAAAGAATTATAACAAAATGTCAGAATAAAAATTGTATGAACCCAATCTCTCAAAATATCTTACTGTCCTAGTCTTACTCTTCTTGATTATTTTAATTTTTATTGTTATTAATATATGCTTGTAGTACACAATGATTACATTTCCTGTGCAGAGTCGGTACACGTACGTAACGCATCTTACTTATTCTCTCAGCACCTTTCTCTCCCTTCCCTTCATCTCTTGGTCAACTTCCCTTTTGCTTCCCATTATCTACCTTTTATTTTGCTCTTTACTTATATTTTGGGTTTCTCGGATATGAGAAATCATGCATGTGATGTGAAATGAGCCAAGTCTAAATGAGGAGACAAAGCGAGCTGAAGAAAGCCAGTACTCTGACAGAGCTTTAGGTTACTACCTAGTGGTTCCTTGGACCCAAGCACTGTGATACCTTGGGAGTGGACCTGATAACCGCGATGACCACTAAGTGACTAACAGACAGGTGGCATACACAGTGCAGACCCACTGGATACAAAGGGATGATTCATGTCCCTGCTGGGTCAGAGTGGAGTGGCAAGAGATTTCATCATTCTGCTTGGTATATAGTGTGCAATTTAAAGCTTACAGATTGTTTATTTCTGGAGTTTTTCGTTTACCGTTGTCAGCCCATGGGTGATCACAGGTACTGAAACCATGGAAATCAAAACCATAGATGAGGGAGATGACCACAGTCCAGGCCAGGGGTGACGGAACTGGGATGGCAATGAGAGGTGGGTGAGGCTGGCTGGATTTGGCCTGCATTTTGAGTGCAGAGCTGACAGCCTCGTGACAGTAAGGGTAACCATTACAACAGTGATAATCATAAGCACAGCCCACCAGCAATTATTGTTGGTCGAATACTTGCTTTGTGCTGGGCCTGTTGCTAGGCAGTTTTGCATACGTTGTTTATTTTGATTCACACAAAAGGCCTATAAAGTAGGTAACTATTATTATCCATACTTTGCAGATGAAAAAACAACTCAGTAAAGTTAAATAGCTTGAACATATGGCCACTAAGTGGCAAAACAGGAATTCAGCATAAATGTGTCTGACTCCAAAGGGAGAGGTTCTGGGCTATTCTCAATCTTCCAGGTGAAACCTGGAGTCTGCAGAGTGATGGTCATGTGGGATGGACACAGAAGTGGGGAGAAATGACCATAGAATGCACTCCAGAAGTGAAGAAGGGCTGGAGGGAAGGAGAGTAGAGCTGGGAAATAAAGTAAAACAGGAGCTTTAGCAAACTCTGTCAGCCACTGGACAACAGGAATGGAGCCATGAAGCCAGCGTGGGTGGGTGGAGCTTGAAGTCTTTGCTTTTCTAGTTCCTAGATCAGTTACAGCTAAGCAGGAACCAAAGTGGTTCTTTTTCTTAACCAACACTTTCCTACTCTTTAAAAGTACACTGATTTGTCAGTGAAACAAGCACTCATATACATTCTCATCCAGATACAGCTTCCTACCGGGCCTTCTACTTCTGCATTTTCTACAAGGCTTGAACATGCCCACACCTGACTTTGGTCTCTTTCCCAGTTTCACAGTTTGCAGAATGTTACACTAGTTTTAAATGAAGACCCCAATGAACAATGACATCGAGGAATGCAGCCCATTGATAGGTCTTGCATCCCTTGCTTGTTTCTACAGTCACAATGAGTTAGACTGGTGTTTATTCTGGATGGGTCTGCTCCTTCCTTCAGTGGGAGAAGCAATCTTGAGTTTAAGTTCATTGCATCAGGAGGTTCAAACAGGAAAAGAAAGACCATTTGAAATAGCCAGCCTAGACCCAAAGCTTGTGCAGCCAACCAATGGGAAATGTCCTACAAATGGTGACAGCTGAATACATCGTGGTGAGCAGGCAGAAGTCTACAGCTGCCCACAATGTGGGGATGGCCGGAAGGGCTCTCTCCCTGCATCCTCCTTGGTCTTTCCTCTTGGCATTCGAGGGACGCAGTATGATACGCTCTTCATAATGCATGCGTGCTTCATGTCCTCCACGAGCTCCTCACTGTCATCTGCTGGGCAATGTCAGGAGGCGACAGCAGGACCTGCCTTGCAGTGGAGGCCCAGGGGACCCTGTGCCAGCAGTTGAGGTACTCATGACTGAACCTCACAGTTCAACAGCAATGCATCAGGGTACTTCTCTCTTCTGAGTAATCATGTCTCTGTTCTTCAACAAGAATGACTGGAGGGTTTCATTTACATATTCCTAAATATAACCCTTGTTTTAACATTTGTTGGCAAACCTAGTGCCTCTCTGCTGGGACCAGAGAGGACTGCTTGAAGCTGGTTCTTTATAGGTGTCCTGAGAAGGCTTACTTAATAGGAAAACTAATGTAATCGCCAAACAGTGGCTTCCTACCAGGACCCCAGGCTCTGTGTGTTACATGTTCACGTCCAAAAGCCACATTAATTAACACACAGCATCCAGAGGTCCAGGAACTTGATGAGCCAAGGGTTATAGAGAACCCAAGAAAACCTTGATTATAATGAAATACTGACAGCTGACTACACGTCTAAACTGGAGAGATCAATACGGCAGGGCAGAGCTCACCTCCTAATCGCCTAGTGGAGCAGCAAAATGACTCGAGCATAACACCGGGAGGCGCCTTCTCAAAGCCACCCGGATGCCCCAGACAGCAAAAGCTATTAAACCATGTGGAGCTTCACCTGTTCTGCAGGTTGGGGGACTCAGGCAAGTCACCTGTCCACTCCATGCCACCTTCTTCCCATAGAAGAGCGAGTGTGAGTCTGTGTGGGCTATACAACCATCACTTCCAATCCCATTGCAGGACTTTTACCTATGTTCTGGGCCGTAGCAGCCTGATTCAGGTGGTTTCTTTTTCAGTGTCTCCGATGTTTATAAATCCAAAATGAGCATTGTAAGTCTGAATCCACAGAAGGATGTGCCTTCCCTCGTACAGAGACACTGGTGGACCGTGAGGTTAGTCCCCACGAAAGCCTCTCCACACTAGTGAGACCAGTCTGCCCTGCCTCTTTGTACTGCCTGGGAAGAGCACTTCCAGGGTACCAGCGATGGAACCAACTCCTGAGGATCTACTACTGCACCATGCTGGGGAGCAGCGGAAACGGGCAGTGTCGCCTGCTTCTCAGGGAGAGACACCATTTTCATAGCAATACTCAGTTCATTTCAAACTCTGAACAAGGTGGACCAGTCTGACAAAGCTGGCCTGGGGGCTCTGCACCACAGCCCCCCACAACCTCAGTGGGACTCAGTTCCATGTGGACCCCTAGACACCCAGCCAGGGCAAGCTGACTGCAGAAACAATCGTCAGTCCCAGCATCCTCACCCACAAATGGGTTATCTCTTGCCCCTTTCCCAGGTTGATGTGTGTCAGCTGTTGGGTTTGGGGTGCTCCATGAGGAGACCCAGGCTCCTTCCGCCTAGCAGCTCCACATTCCCTAGGACGGGGACCACTCGTCTGCACACTATTGGCATTTGGGAGGGGTGGCTCCGTGCAAAGGGCTGTCCTGTGCTTATAGGACTGTTTAACCACATTCCTGGCCCTGCCTTCCAGACGCTGGGTGCCCCTCTCCAGTGTGACAGTTGGAAATGTCTCCAAACATTGGCGAATGTCACCTGGAAGTTGGAACCTCTCCCTGAAACCCAGACCATACACCATTGCCCTCAGGTTGGAAGCCCCCCCAAGCCGACTCAGTCGTCTAGATTTGGCCAGCAAATGGAAAGAGGGAGGTATATCCGCTCCTGGACACCTGGCAGCATGGTGACAGCCCCAGGAGGGTGAGGCACAACCACACGTCCCCACCTGGGGGCAGAAGGCTGCATGCTTAGAGGGGGATGGAACTCTCACGGGGCCCTGTCTCAGACACAGATGGAAGCACAGCGAGAAATGAGCACAGAGGGGCCCATCGGGCAGGGGTCCAGCTAATGGACAGGTCTGCGGGCCTCCAGGCGGCATGGTCACCAGCTTCCTTCCTTCTGCCCTCTCCTTTTTTGTCAAATAAACATCTTCCTGCATAGTTAAGGTATACAACAGGCTGCCCTGTGATACATAGATAGATGGCAAAAACATTACTACACTGAAGCAAATTCACACAATCCATCACCTCACACAGTGACCCTTTTTTGTTGTTTCTGCGGCAAGAGCAACTAAAAGCGGTTCCTGAGCGTGGACCCCTCCGTGGTACAGTTTTATCACTTCATCCTCATGCTGCTCAACCCACCCGTCTGCCACTTCGCGTGCTCTGACCCACATCGGTCCATTTCCTGCCCCTCTTCCCCGCCCCCCACCCCGTTTGCCTT